GACCTTTCGGTTACAAGGCAAGCTCGTAGACCATTAAGCCACTGGGACCCATCCAATGGCCAGCCCATGAATTCCAGCTTCTGCCAATTCACAACGTAGCGCGACCACTAGCCAATGTCTTCGGCGTGTATTTGTCCTCACACCCGACCTGCTGCACTTTACTGGTCACGGCTTCCCACTAGAACCCCAGGTAACTACCTACCTGTATAGGGCAAGTCGCTAGTGAGCATCTTATGATGAAATCATGTAACCAATCAAATCCCTACAAACCAACACTTAAATAAGTTGATGTGGAATTAAAGATATAAAAGCTTAAGATCTAACCAGTTACCTTCCTCGGACACACTTCTGTTTACTTGAAAGTTATGTCAAAATCTGCAGAGGTATGCGAAATGTGAGGTGCTTTCAAACTGGTAGGGAATAGTTCAGCAATGGTAACGAATTGGGGACTCATTAATTTCACTCCAAGGAGTCAGAAATACTTTACCTCTCTGAGTAAAATTTGAGTAGAGTATAACTATCATGTATCTACCAATAATAAATTCATATTTATTTTATTTCACTTTATTTGATAACTAACCGGATGCACCTGCATCTCTTGTAAGTAATAATGATATCGTGTTAACAATCAGACATCACTGAAGCATCCTTACGAGGAATTGACAAGTAAACAGGGACTGAGAATTTCGGTCTAATGTGAATCAATTACCGGGAATTTAAAACTAACGTAAATTTTTGTTTATTTATTTTAGACTACTGTTTTAATTATCAGTAAACAAAAATGATTTATCTATTACTAATGGTACAGTGGATGTGTATGACCAGAGTAGAATGTGGTCTCATTCCAGTGAATACAGGTTAGTCCTTTACAAGTATGCACTAGGATTTTATTAAATGTTAACAACCATGACAAAGAGACCCTCAAACTAGGAAAGAACAGCCGTCCAGTACTAGATGATTTTCAATAGTTATCTAACTGATATCAATCTGTGATGAAAATTGAAGCCGAGCAAGTCCCTAAAAAATAACACTTGAAAAGTATGACATGGTATACCACGATTCATACGGTTTACATTGTCCCCTAAAGCTGTACACATATCTTGTACAATCAGTTAGGTCGCTTTAAATGACAGTGTAAGTATGAACGTGGAAACGTTCAAAAGGATTAAATATCCAGCATATAAGAATTATCGTTGAATTTTAGTTATTAGATTTCCATCACGAAACATCAATGAAAACCAGGAAGTGCTAGACAGCTGTTTCATCCTATTTTTGGACTCTTTACAGTGCCCTCCCACATTCTTGCCAGAAATCGAACCCTGAACTTTCTTGTTAATTAAGCTACTTAGGCTAGAATTCAATGACCCCTGACTTTGTCTGCTCATGAAATAGTACTGTTTTCACTAATCTCTTCAACAAGCATCCACTTCTCCTCGGATGAAGGGTGAAGCCCAGGAATTCCATCCAGTGACCATCAGTGAGTTGGCGAATAATATTCAGACAGTAGGATTTGTGAGAATTTCGGCATAATATCAGCCAGCCTAAGTGGTTGAATGGTCTAGACATCCTTAACTGAAGTCGTGGGTGGGCACTGATGAGGACGAAAGATCTGTCCAGTGCTCCCTGGTTCCCAAAGATCTCAATAAATGATGTTGGTTTGTGACGATAATCTGACAAGTGAAATGAATCCACAATCCTCACAAATCCTAAAATCTGCATTATCGTTGGATTCCGTCAAAACTGTTTATTTCTAAAGTATAGTATTAGTTCTAAGTGTTCTGAGGATTATGAAAATTTTGAATGTAAAGTTTTTAATATCAATGTTTTGTTAATTGGAGTTGTTATGTACAAGGCGGCGTCACAGACAGTGAGATGAATGTTCTGAACTGCTCTAATATAAATACATTATATGTTTGAATAGTAGAATATAAATAATTAAGTAATCTACTATTCGCGTCGAAATTTAGGGAATTCACTCGAATGTAAATGTGGCATTCGGATACTGGGGTAGAATATAATCCCATATTAGATAAGTTTATCTGATGAAACCCTGGTGATACTGTACTAGTAACTGGATGGTGTTTCAGTTACAATTTACTACGTGTAATCATATCACTAAATTCACACAACTGCTCAGCTTGTTTTACATAGCCAAACTCCCTAGTAATTCTTATTGCAGATTTTTATACGTGTTGCGTCCCTTCGGTTGCACGTAGCTGGTCTTGATTCTATGAAAAAAAGAATCAGACTCCTTTCCCATCTAAATATGTTACTTTTGAGTACTTTTAACCTATTCAACTCCGTTGTATGAATACATGTACGTGTATTCATTGTAACAGCTGGATGGTTTTGAGATTATGTAACTAAGTGGATTCAGTCATTATCGATCCAGCTAAGTGCCTATATTCCATTAGAGGGAAAATTTATTTTGATAAAGTCTCACAGTTTTATACAGTAGTATTATCAAAATAAACTTCCTCCATAACGGAATTAATTATACTCTATGACAGTACCGAAGATCTATTCTCATACTAAGTTCCTGTAAACCGCTGACCCACCTGATTCTAATCTGCTAGTCTGACCCATGTAATTTACCTTGCAGTTACTACATTGAATCTCTCGACTCAAAGGTCCGACTTTAAATACTATCGAAAACCATACGGATTTAATTCATAAAGATGGATCAAAAAGCTCACTCATAATCTGAAGGAATAAAATGTACAACTACTTCAATACCTGAATAATTTGAATATGACCAATAAATATTATTTATAAGTGTAAATTATTACTTACTGTTTATTTGTATCGGTCACGGGTACATTTCGTGTCACATTCAGATTGTCAGTCTTTAAAGCATTTATAATATGTGATCAAATAAAACCACGCATTACAATGTAAATAATTTGGCTCTTCAAGGGAGACGGTATAGAAACTTTATCCTGGATTTCATATTTCTAAGTTGTAGAGTTTCATTTCATGTTGAAGTAGGTGAAATATAAGCATACTATATTCTTGACGTTGTAGACATATTGAGGTGACACCAAACAGAAGAAACTCAAGTGGGGACCGAGAAGGAAGTGACAAGTTGTACGTCTGAGGTTGACATGCAGTAAACACACACATTCATATTTCAGGCTATAAATTAGTTATTTCTTTGAATTCTGAGTCGAACCTCAAAAGGTATATCCATGTTGTACTCAACTCTCTGTCAGTACTGTTAACTATCTCTATAACTTCCCGAAAGCTGTAATTCCCGCCATATCATCCAGAGACATCCAACTTGTCATTTCTTGTTTTTTGTTTCCCACTTGACTGCTTGGTGTTTGATATCTCTTGGAGATATTCTCAATGTCAAGATTATAGTGCTCTTAAATCTCACCTAACTTAACATTAACTGAAACTACTTATCTGCTATCTCCCTTGAAACCCCATGTTATTTACGCTTCAGTGAGTTAAGTGACATACAGTTTAGTGGGATGAAAGAAGACAAAGGCGTAGAGTAAAATAAAAAAGGAATATTTTAAAATATAATATATTCTGTTTTTTAAGTTTACGCCAGTATTTATAATGTGTGTTAATTCTAATTCTTAGACAAAACAGGTTAATTGAATTTTATTCATCAGTAGAATCCGGTACTACACTTAACAATGGGAATTAAAGGAAAGAAAATTACTGCTTTATCAATAATTTTAAGATTAAATATCATAGTAGACGAAAAGCGTCGTACCGACTTGTTAGTTCAATGGAAATCAGAGTGAACCAACAGTAGACTGTATAAATGTTTAAAATTTATGCATCTATCACTCATCGTTCTTTGCATTCCAAATGGAACATACAGGGATCTTCAGCTGCCCTCGACGTTTTCGAATAAAAATTTTTAACTGGCTGTATGGCTGTATGCACAAAACCTTCTAATTCCTCCTCATATGACCTTTTCTATATATATATATATCACTCTTGAATACCTAACCGGCCACATCTCATTCAGGTTCCACTTGAAGGTCTGTCTGACTTACCATGTCACTGGAATGTCTCTTTATTAAATGCCCACTTCATCTCTATATGCTTCTGCTTCGAGCAATAGGTGGGTATCTTCAGCAGACTGTTGGAAATACTATCGGTTACGTGCGTATCACTTCTCGGAACTATATATGGAAATACTGAGTTGACGTTAGTATAATGACTTTGTAATCTTGTCCCTCGTTGGTAAGTGCTTTGAATATCTTAAGTAGTTAAAGCAAAGTAAAATTAGAAATCGTTTTTCATATAAGTCGATAAATACATCTAGACTTTTGAAAAAAAAGGAAATTTCTTTCTCACACTCAGATTTATAAATTTAACACTCAACGTCTACTGAAGCATTGAATAATATCACTTTCTACTTAGGAAGTGTTCAAATGTTTCTTAAAACTTAATATGGACACTAGATGGTTATGCATTTGGTCTTTTATTTGATGCACACTGGATTCTATCGGTCAATTTTGTAAGTTGGTCACCATGCTTAGTGACTTGCTATCACACAGCTCTCTGAACTTTTGTAGAAAATCGGTAGGAAACCTTCAACCAAACAAAAGACTGAACGTAGGAAACCAGTTACTTATTGCCTAGTACCCAATCAAAATAACCAGTACAGTCCTAGAGTAGGTCACTGATGAGCATGAACAGCTCAGCGATAAAGTTTTTAACTGCAGCCCTGTGTGAACCAGGCTCGAATCTTAGAGGGAATATGAGTTTCATCAAGATTGCAGATAAGCCTCGCTGATGACTAGTGAATGCCAGCAAGCATGACATCTAGATATAAGGCATTCTACCGATTGCCTTCAACCGTGTAATAAAAAAAGTATCTTAACGCTAAATTTCACCCTGAAAAGATTACACGAATAAGACATGGGTAACAAATATCAGAAAATGTAAAACAGTAATAATATAATAATTATAATAAAGATTATTGTTAGTCTACAATATTAATTTGCCCTAATTTTACAGACGATCTTCTTCCAATGAGTGATGGCGCGCATACAAGCATCAGTCACAATAATAACAATGAATCAGCGGACGCAGGACCTAGAAATACAGAAATCAGACTGCATGAATTAAATATGATAGATGGGGAGGTGAGCAATAGTTATCAGAATGAAATGGAAAAGTTTGAAAATGCGAATCAAACAGCACACATCCCAGAAATGAGTCAAGAAATGTTAAATAAGACTCAGAAAATAACAAAGCAAAACTTAAGAAAGAAAAAAACTGCTAGAAAAGAGACTGATAAAGAGTTTAACCAGGATGAAGTCAAAAATGTGACTACAGGAAAACAATTGAAAGATCCAAAAAAAAGAAGAAAGAAGCCTATACCAGAAAACCCTCAAAATCGACAAAATCAATCTTTAAATGAAAAGCGAAGAAAAACAAAGAAACCGCGCAATAAGCGAAAGAAGAAAACAGACAAGACATTGAGTCAATCAGAAGATGGGAAAACAACCCAAAAATTAGAAAGTATTGACTATTCTACAGAAAATGCATTTACTGAAATATTAACGTCAGTTACAAAAAAATATGAAAACCAGATAAATACTGAAAGTACCAAAGATGAAGGAGAGAAATTCTCGGAAAAATTAGAGATGGAAACCAAAGAACAGCAGAAGATAACCTCTGACACGGAAGGTGGAGTAACAGAAAGCAATCAGTACTCGTCAGTAGATTATGTTCGGAAAAGTGAGAATCCTGGAGAAAATATAACTGCTCATCATAAAGAGACAGAGACAGATCAATCTAACGAGGACGAGTTGAGTGCGACAACAGAATTGGGGAGTGCAAAACAAAGCGAAAACCAGCAGGAAATGTCGAATGAGAAAGTGACTGAAGACATTGAAAAAAATAACCAACGAATAGAAACAGAAGGCGAAGAAATCGAAAAAAATGGCGACACAACAATGAGTGTGGATTACAAAAACAACGAAAAGAATTTAATGAGTGCAACAACAGATGTTCAGGACAATAGGCAGACACAAAGTCAGACAATTATATCGCCACATACAGAGCAAAATACAAAAGAAGTGTGCCTATCACTGGAATTGGAGGTGGACAAAAATGACAAACCAAAAAACAACAGTGAAGAAACCAACAGGAAAACACAGGAATGCTGGAGAGTGCCAAAAAAGGTAGAAAAAAATAGGAAAGAAAATGGACCAGATAAAAAAACAAGCTGCTATAAAGCATTCGACAGAGACGTCACAATATGTGATAAAATATACGACAATTACAAACAGGAGAATAAGAATCAGAAAACAATAGAAAACGAGGCAGAGGCGACAGAGAAAGACGGATGGAAAAACACGACAGAAGAAGAGAAACAAGAACACACAACGAATCTAACAAAGGAAAAAACACAAAATAACGAGAGTGAACAGGAAAAACAAACAGAAAGAAGTAAAGAATATAAGGAAGAGAAAAAGGAAGAGAAGACGGGGAAGGAGGGAGAAGAGAGTGATGAGATGCAGGAGACGCGGAATGAGACGTATACAGAAGAAGAGACGGTGACAATTCACCAGTCGGAGTTAGGAGGCGATGACCGGTCAACTTCGCCTCTTGAATCAATGGGTAACCGAGACACGCAACACAACCAGACATTAGAGCTGGAGGACACGTCACCAGAAATCGTAACTCTTCAACCAGTCACCATACCACCTTTGATTGTGAATGTTCTGAGGCCAGAATCTGTTCCAGATGAAAATCAACCTGTTGGCACTGGTGACTACGCAGATGGACCCACAGATCAATCTGTGAATGAAGAAGACAAGGTGGAAGCTGAAGCAAGCGTGTCACAACCTCATGGCCACCACCAGAGAACTCCTGATGGAGAGGACACAGACGAGAATGTGGAGGGAGTGACTGAGCACCAGATTGTGGACATACTCACGGAGTTAACAGACAGCACGTTGGCGGAGGGAGGTAAGAGCGATACACAAGTTGTGTATACAGTCAATATTACTGATGGTGATGATGACAGTGTCAATGAGACAGAAAAGGCTGTGGCAATAGATAAAGAACTTGAGGAAGAGAAGAAGGATGAGAAGACGGGGAAGGAGGGAGAAGAGAGTGATGAGATGAAGGAGACGCGGAATGAGACGTATACAGAAGAAGAGGCGGTGACAATTCACCAGTCGGAGTTAGGAGGCGATGACCGGTCAACTTCGCCTCTTGAATCAATGGGTAACCGAGACACGCAACACAACCAGACAGTAGAGCTGGAGGACACATCGCCAGAAATCGTAACTCTTCAACCAGTCACCATACCACCTTTGATTGTGAATGTTCTGAGGCCAGAATCTGTTCCAGATGAAAATCAACCTGTTGACACTGGTGACCACCCAGAAGAACCCACAGAACAATCTGTGAGTGAAGAGGACAAGGTGGAAGCTGAAGCAAGCGTGTCACAACCTCATGACCACCACCAGAGAACTCCTGATGGAGAGGACACAGACGAGAATGTGGAGGGAGTGACTGAGCACCAGATTGTGGACATAGTCACGGAGTTAACAGAAAGCAAGTTGGTGGAGGGAGGTGAGAGTGACACACAAGTTGTGCATACAGTCAATATTATTGATGATGTTGATGGCAGTGTCAGGGAGACAGAGAAGGCGATAGCAATAGATAAAGAGTTTGTGACGGAGAAGGAGGATGAGATGAGTTTTTCAACTTCAATTCCTTCTGATTCGTATGTTTTGAAGTCTGGTGTCAATGTTTCACTTGTTAATCACTGTTTCATGCCTAGTTATTCGTTAGGTTACTATTTCCAGTTTCATTTCAAATCTCCTAACCATTCTGTTTCAAATACGTATGATGATTTTTCAAAAGTCTATTCCACTTTCTCACAATTAATGTTCACTCGCATTCATAATAAATTTTGTATTTTTGTAAGTTTACCACCAAGTAATACTGATATATGCAATGACTGTTTTAAACTTCCTGTCTCATTAACTTCGAAAACTGTATTTTCTACTCTGCATTCAATGATATCCACCTGTAATTTGAATTATGCTGTCTTTATTTCGATGTCATCTTTGGATTTCTTAGATATTTCTTATTCCAGTTTGGGTTCTCAACCTCGTTTCACTTCGAAATCTAGAAAATCTCGGCATATATTCCATGACTTTTCTAAATAATTGGCCCTGTTCTTCAATCACGGGGTTTACAAACTCTTACTTTGAATTCGAAATTTTCTATATTTCATCCTAAGTCTATTGTGATTACTGTTTTTCATTTTTAAACACTTGTAAGCCACATGACAATTTGTTTGGTTTAAAATATATCTTTTACTTCTTTCTGTGAAATTCCTTATTTTGATTTAAGTATACATTGTGTTGAACACATTTGGAAATATCATACATAGTGTTAAGTCACTCGAAGATAGAAGGAATATACTCTAGGTTTAGATTTGAATGGCTCAGCATGTCTTGCGTCATCAGCCATTAAAATGTTCTTATCAATACGATTAGTTTGAAAGAATTGGTTGTATACTTAACCAGAAAGAAGATAGGGTTGTCACATATGTGTGTTAAGCAACTTGTTCTCTTTGATATGCAGATACCGACAGCTGGGTGTCACTCATTTACATGACATGGTGGTCCGTGCCGCTTAGTAGATAAAGCTCTCCTGCATCAGTCGTGAAATGTTCTCCAGTCATGCTCATGTTCCAGGTTTGATTTCCAGCTGGCGCTCTCCTAAGCATTGCTTGGGGAAGTTTGGTTGTGAGGCTTGCAACCTCATCTAGTTATTAAAAGCAGCCTCATATACCCACATTGGGATCTGTGTTCTCTCCATCAGGAGTTCTCTGGTGGTGGTCACGAGGTTGTGACACGCTTGCTTCAGCTTCCGCCTTGTCTTCTTCATTCACAGATTGATCTGTGGGTTCATCTGTGTAGTCACTGATGTCGACATATACATATATATTATAATGAGTGGTTCAGTGTTAGTTGTATCAAACAACTGTTGATTAGTCACAGGGGTGTGATCGGTGGCATGTGTTTAGTGGTGCTAACTAGTTTGTATCAGTCAACTTATTGGTAACATCCCTGACTCCGGTGGAGTATGAATTTCATACAGCACATTAATTCCGAGGTCGCATGCTACCTGCAGACACTTCTTGCTAGCGCGTCCGTCATAATAACGAAGGGTAGGTTCATGGTTTCTTACCAAATGTTAGCAACCATCTTACATCAGGCTAAATCTATAGGATTGAAGTTACAAAATCATAAAAATCATACTATTAGTGAACTCTGTCATATAGAATTCTAAAAGTGCAGCACTTACGTTGTAATTTAAAGGGTGTCAACTTAAGTGTACTCAGTAATCGTGAGTTACCAGTATTCGAAACAGAATCTTTCATACCATCTTGCCTACCTGTAGTCATCACTTTCCACAGACTTTCGGGCCATTCCTAAGTAAATGAGATGCATGCTGTCTAATGGAAAAGCAGCTATCATGTCTATATGTCTTATGGTGACCTGACTGCGTTTGACTTCGGTAACCTGCCTTTGTTCTCACAGAGGCACAAGAATTTGGATAAACCATGCAGTTATTTACACGACAGCATATAGCCTCACGCTTATCGTATCCTTGGGTTGAATTTTGACTGGATATTTGGTTCATTAATGCCCTAGCTGTTGTGTATCACGGATAACACCCTTGGGTAGTATGTCCATGTGGTGGTTTTGGGGTTATACAAAACCATTCTCACATAAAAATTCTAATTCTACAATGGTATCTCTTTAAAATACTGTGAACACTAACAGGATAACATGAACCATGGTATACACCTACCAAAAATACCTCATCATATCCAGACAGCGACTGTGCAACAAATAAGCAGGAAGAAATGGAGGTGGATTGGCCATACTCTGAGGAAACCATCAAGTGACATCACTAGACAAGCCATTGCTCGAGTGGAACCCGAAAGGGAAGCGGCGAGTTGGTCGTCAGTGTGAGGGTGACTTGGAGGAGGTCATGTGAAGAGGAGATGAAAGCATGTGGGCAGACGTGGAGCCAGGTGAAAACCCTAGCAGAGAACCGAACGCAATGGAGACGTTTGGCTGAAGCCCTATGTTCCTCTAGGAATTAAAGAAAATAATAATATTAATATCCAGACAGTAGCAGCTATGCTTGAATAGGCCACATCTGAAAGTCCGAATTGTTGGAAAGTTGAGCACAATAAATGTTCAGCTACAGATTCACTGCCACTGGGACTTCCTCTTTGACTATTTGTGGGCGGCATTCAATCTGACGACGAAAGTCAATATGAACATATGTCCCAGGACCAATTCTTCTCCTTTAAATAACTTCTTCAGTCCTCATCAATGTCCGGGGTCAGTTGGTAGGTCAGGATTCACTTACCTCAATTCTTAAAATATAATACCCTTATTCGCCATACTAAGATTGCATCTGTAGATGATGTTGTAAATAGCACCCAGTGCTGCATGCTCGTTCCTGTTAGGAGAATTGTTTGGTGTAGACGAGGGGTCACACAACACATGTTCTTCTACTGACGGTGGAGTTGATGTACTTTCATAATTCACAGTTTTGGAGAATAAACATGTTTAGTGAAATATAAGTATAAAAATTGGGCACTGTAATAGAGTATAACTCCATTATGGATAAGATTTTATTTTGATAAGTCACACAGTGTTACACAATAATTTTAACTGATGACGTTTCGAGCACAAATTATTATTATTGTTTAGTGAACTCGCCTCTTGCACTGATTTAGCTCGACGGGAATTTTCGGGGATTCTGAGTACATTGAAATGATACTATAAGCTTACCTGCTAACTGCTTCTTTCATAACAGATTGTATTTTTTAAGCGTCGACAGAATGTTGATTTGTGTCGTCTGCGGTAAAATCTAACTGTCGGTGCCTCATAATACATGATAGCTAAATTTACTTACATAATCTCAAAATCTTTGGATGAAAGAATCTGATGTCAATTGATGGTTGATTGTTATTTATTTCGTCTAGGGAATTAATATGACGTGACGAAGAACAGTCAAAACTTATGTTAGCTGAAAACACAACGGGTTTATCCGTGTCAGCACACAGATCACTGGAGTCTATACAACAAATTAGCCTGGTTTAAAGCAATTTGTTCCCTTTATGAATTTCGACAACACAGTAAAAGGACGTAATTTATCTGAAACGTTTAATGTATTTGCTCAACTTATTTCGGACATTCTGATCACATATGTACTTGTCATACACAGTTTTATATAAGGCAAGACGGTATTAATAATCACAATATAGGTCAGACTGTGTACAGGTCAAGGTCACAAATAATGGGCAGGGCGACGCAAATGTGTGGGTAAGAAAGAGAAAAAGAGAAAAAACAAAGCAAAGAAGGGGTTGAAAATATTAAGAAGTAAATTGGTCCTTAGTTCTAAATTGGATTACCAAGGCAGGTTTAAAGTAATAACAAATAACTTTTGGACACATAAGACAGACAGGTTTAAGTCTTTTTATGGCTAAGGCTTCAATGAATTTAAGTATGCGGCCTAACCATGTTTTATATATGGGCTTAAAGGCATTGTTGAAATCAACCTTATGATCCGTCTCTATAATGTGCTTCGCTATAGGTGATGTTGGACATCTATTTCAGGGGCAGTTGTGTCTGGCGATTTTATTTGTTGTTGCAGCCACTTTGGAATGTGTTCTGTAGCCCTAACCTGCAGAGACCGATGGGTCCTCCCTATGTACGTGTCTCCACACATTCATGTAAATGGGATGTGACACTATGGTTCGGATAATGTGAGGGTTTACAGGACAGCATAGTTCTCGTTTTCTCTATGAAGATAAGTTTAGCTGCATTAATTGCGGCCTTGGATCTTTGTCTAGTGATCAGACTTTGCTGATCAACTCTGAACGGCACGGATATGTAAACATCCTTTTTGGGAGCTGACTGGATTGGTAGAGCTCTATGGTTGACACTTCCGTAACGCCTAATAAATCTCAGTGGGTAATTGCTATCTAACATTATTTCAGTGATGTGTTGTCTTTCTTCTTGAATTGTATCGGTAGTACATATACGGTGAATGCGCTTGAACAAACACTTAACCAACACCTTCTTATACTGTATTGGACAGAAACTTTGATAATTTAGATACTCTCCCGTCCATGCGGACTTTCTGTAGACAGATCGTTTTACATCTTCTCGGCGGGTTATGAGTACATCTAAAAATGGCAGGCAACCATTATTCTCTTTAACGTATGTTAGCGATATATTGTTTTGTACTCTGTTGATCTGGTTCAGGATTTCTATGGTGTCTGGCATGATCATTGAATTAAACAGTACTTTGATATTTCACAGTAGACATATCACAGTTAACACCTAATAATTAAGGAAACTGTTAAAAAATAAGAAGGTTCGGCACACATGCCGGCTACTCACCAAGATGGAAACAGAAACTGTGATTTCAAATGCACTGTTTCCAACATGTGTTCTTATGTATTTAAAAAAATATCTTTCCATAAGGCACAGTAGGATGCACTAAGAATATCATGGGTACATTTAATTTCAAAGTTAAATATAAGAACATATTATTTTATTATATATATTGCTAACGACAACATCAGATCCTTTGCGACGCAATATAACAACGTCAGCTCTTATTGGTTGAAGATATAAAGATGGGTTAATGTCATTGGTTAATTTCTAGCCAATGAAAGTACATATAAGTCACCCTAAGTTTCTGTTATACGCCCGAAGTCAGCCCCGACGTGTCTGCAATGCACCCTAGGTCAATGCCATGTGATGACTTGTATTGAATTCTTTCATCCTTTCCAAATAGGCAACTTTAATAACAGGATGGCCAAATATTCTGTAGGTACGTAAAAGAAGAGGCTTTAAGTGAAAAGTTAATCTTTTATAAGGCTTAGCTGTCTGCATTTTAGGACTGATAATAAAGATTAGAAATTAGTTATATAAATCCTTACTCGTCTTCTTCTCCTTATCTTAATTTAGACACTTGAGTAGTGAGCTTTTGGGCATATACTTCACCCCATTCCATAATATATATTTCAAAAACGAAACATACAATACTGCAAAGTCTGCATTTCCTCCCTAATAACGGCTGAACGCTACTGGTTGATGTCTGTCTTAAATTATCAGTGAAATTC